ACTGGTCAAATGATGATTTGCCGACAAAGATATACAATGAATTTTCAAGGTTGTTATTCTAGCAAGACGCTCACAGAGAGCCCATCCCTTACCCGTGCACAGTCACGTCCATTTCAGAAAACCTAACAAACCTCACTCCAGAAGCATCTTATTTTTAAGAACTTTCTCTACATCAAGTACTCTTATGTATGTTGAGACTTATGAAGATTAAAACTTTCGAGTTTTTAATAGCAGACAACTACTGAATAATGAATAGTTCCCTCTATGCTACTCACTCATCCATCACACCACAGCTTCACGAGGGCACAAACACTGCTAAAAAACCACAGCTGAAAACCATACCTGAGAGAAGGAGAAGTGTTTGTCCTAGTCTTTGAAGCTTAATAATCTTTATAAAAAGTAATTACTATTATGATTTCACTAACTCTGGACGTAGAAAATAATTTCTAAGTTTAAAATCTTAAAAACATTAAGGTTTAAATAAAAAGGATAAAGCAACCTGCTACCATTGTCTCTAAGAATAGCTAGACAGCCTTATTTTACCAAGTTAACATTTTCACCAGCTTATTCTGGAATTGACTTTAAAAAGCAAATAAGTTTATCTGATGTGATTTGTTATCAATTGTGTCCTCCTTATTTCTGACATAAGAACATGATATTAATGAATTTGAAAGGTTGGAAAAGACCTCTGAGATCATCTAGTCCAACCGTCTGCTCAACACTACCGTGGCCACTAGACCACGTCCCAAAGTGCCACATCTATACATTTTTTTTTAACACTTCCAGGGATGGCAATAACCTGGAATATGTACTGCCACGTAGTGACAGCCAAACGCTGCAACATTTTCAGAAAAAAAAAAATCTTTTCAAGCTCTTTCTCTCTTAAGACCTTGTTCTCACAGACAACACCACTCTCCCTTCCCCTCCTCCTCAATTGGTCTTACTCTGTCATTCCTTTCTTTAAATCCTTCCATTGGCTTCTAACTCATGCACCACACAGGGTTTAAACTTCTTGTTCTGGACTTCAAGGCAAGCAGCCACACCCTGAGTTACAGGCTTTTGGTAACCTCTAGACCAGGCCATTAACAAAGTCAGCCTCCACATCATCTTAGTTGGCCTTTCCTCATGAGCTTCTGCTTCTCCTCTGTGCAGGCTGAACAGCTTTCTTGAGACAAACCATCTTCATGCCAAGATTGCACTAAATGATCTAGTTCTGTCAAAATGTCCAAGGGTAATCAATCGTGTTCTCCTTTCGAATAAGCATTAGAATTTGAAGTAGCATTTCCTCATTTACCTGTTCTGTAGGCTTTTCAGTAAAACTTAAATTTGACTGACTCATTTCAATTTATTTTGAACAAGAACACTCATTTGTCTTCCATAGCAGATTTTACATAGTCCACAGATAATTCTTCCCTAATATACAAACTACATTTGGATAAAAGGAGACCTCTGCAATTACAATATTTCAGAAGCAATAAAAACATAGCACCAACAAGCTTGCCAGGTATTACTTTGCTATCCCACTCAATTTTGCTGTTATCCAGGCCACAGGAAGAAAGAGGGCTTATATAACATTTCTCAGAAGTGAGATTTGCACAGGACTGAGCTTTTAAGTAGTTTTGAAAAAATTAAGATTCGACTATATAGTAGGAAGCCAGAAGACAACAAAACATAGAATCACAGCATTTGTTGTGTTTTCCCCCTACTTTCTTCCACCTCCTCATCTTTTGAGAATCAGTCTGCAATTACACTAAATATCACTGACAACCGCTGCACCATTTTGCTTTATGTGCTCCTACTTCCAAGTTTCTTGGAGGTGAAGACATGGCTCAGTGTGGCTACTGCTGCTCACTAACAGGCCTTTTTCGATTTCAATCCAATTCCTGTTGGACAGACATCTTTTACTATTGCCACACTTGCAACAGACAGAAGTCAAGAAGCTACTGCTGCAGAACAGAATCCTCTTCTCACAACCACGTCCGGACTGGGGCACACATACTTGGCACAAGTAACACACAAATGTTTACTGTAAATTGAGGAAAGCCCAGAGAGTATTACTGTCATGCATGCCCCTGAGCCTGACCAAACTTGCAGATCAATTAACCCTCTACACTCATTTACCATAGCTGCTTTAAACCCTGAAAAATTAGAAACTTAAAAAGCCCTAAATATTTCTCTATAAAAATACCAGGACTTCCTTAACATCTCTTTCAAGTCTTCTGAATCAATTAATGGGAATGACTACTTGAATACTTTTTTTTTTTTAGTATGAACTCTTTCAGGAAAACTCTATTGTGTGCTCAAAACTCACTTATCCCCCCTCAAAAATTCTAGGTAGTCTTAGGTCTCAAACCTAGGGGTCACATTTTAACAAGTATCTGTTTTCACATCAGGTTGACTGTCTCTACTTGATCCTTCAGTGACGTATTAAACAAAGTATCAATCATTCCTGTGACAAGTTGATAATGTCACATTTAAGACTTGGGACAAATAACACCCCACTCCATAACAGATACCGAGTCTCCTTTTTCAAAAAATAAATCAGATTCCAACAACCTAAGAAGCAGCAGTTTCCCTGACAAAAGTAGGGCATCTGAAAATAGACATGTTCCGGGCTAGTGAAAAAGTATTAATATATAACTCCAATATGAATGGATTTATTCTCAGTCAATTCAATAGTTATTTTATGCATTACAGCTCAGTGGTTGCCTGAAACAGGAAGGACTTAAAATCACTGAAAAAAAGCCTGACACTTAAGATACAAATTTTTTAAAGGAAATAATGCATGAGTCTAGAGTAATCTTAATTTCTGAATTAACAGTAATGCATGCATTCATATCACATATGAGGGATAACAACATCAAATTACACTCATTTTTAGTGCTTATAACCCAAGTATATCCAACAGCTTACTATGCTGAATTAATGAAGTATGCTGTGACTTAGTATTTTTAGGCTTTTTCCTTCAAAGAAATTATCCTTTAAACACAGTGAGGTACCATAATACGATGTAGAGATCTGAACTACACCCGAACTACATCCGAAAGTAGTACAAAATAATGAGCAAGCTTCGTAACTTCTCACACAATTATTTCTATTTTAAAGAAGATCTGGAATATAAAATACATTCTTTTAAAATATTAAAGAATACACTCCCCTACCACTTTGTACCCTGTACTATTCTTATACCCTAAGACATGTTTGGAAAGGGGACTGTTTTCTTTGTATTCCCAACAAAGACAGTTGCACGTGAGTTGTTTTTACTAATTGTTTACACAAATATACCCAAACACCTACAAGTACTCCCTTAATTACATGCCTACATTCTGTCTATTAAGACCACTAATTAGAATATAAATTACAATTACAATTTAGTTAGTGAACCAGAAAAAAAATCCCCTCACTTATCTTTGGCTCTAACGCATAACACTACAGGCCAAAGTTGAAACTGAACCCTTACATCAGTCAAAATCTAAATTAACTCCAAAGAATAAGAAAATAAAGCATATATGTGGAAAAGAGAATTAATCATTGCTGTTCACATAATAATCACATCTCACACAAAGACATGGATTCTAAGGTCACATTTAGAAACATATTTTTCTTGTAGAGGGCTTTGGAGCTACTAAGATTTAACTTTTTGCTGCCTTCATGTTGTAAAACCACTTCACTGTAGGACCAAGATGATGAACAGAAAAATGTTTTTTAAGTTTCTCCTTCCCTCTGTATAGTGAGGTACACAGAGAACACCATACACACTAAACTTTTTATCAGAACTACTACTAAATCAAGCAAGTGAAAGTCAGTCAGCATTTATTTCTAAAAAAATGCAATTGATTTAGGTACCTCACTTCCAAGCACCAGAAAAATTTTAGTCCGAGTTTCCAACTGTTACATTTAACAGATAACAAGCGTCATTAGCTTGAAAAGCTACACAATAAAAAAAAAAAAAAAACAACCAGTTTCAGTAATCCAGCAGCAAATATTCACTGTAACTTTAACAATAAATAGTATCAACAGACTTCAGGAAGAATTAGGAAAGTCTTATGGCAAATGAACACCTGCTTACCCTATTGATCAGGGATCTGTTTCTATTTATCTATCAAAGCCACCCTAGCTACAAATAGCCAAGCTCCTTTTAACATGTCATATTCCTTCTGAATTTCCACAAAGTAGTTGTAGAACAGCTGCATACAGCAGAACAGAAATTCTCTTCAGTTTTAGGAATCACAAAGCAAGTATTGCTGCTAGATGTCTTTATTTTCCTTTAACAAAGTACACAAAGGCACAAAGTTCACTTATATCTTGTCATTATTGTACAGGTATAAATAGTGCTTTGTATTCAAGTACAATCGAGTGCAGAGACTTTCTATAATTTTATGTAAACACAAGTTTCCTATATACGTGCCTCTGGTTCATCTGCAACGCAAATACCAAAGGAGATGCCATTTATCCGAGTGCCGTTTAACTGAATTCTGTCAAAAAGTTAGACCATGAGTAACATTAACACCACTGTAATGACACTTTCATAAGCTTAAGTCAAATGTCAGATGACACTTTAGCTTGTAAACATCTGTGTATTTAAAAAGTACTCAATTCATTTCAACAGGGAAGCATTAAAAAGTATCTTAAGTTCATTAGACCAAACTTACTAGGTCAGCTGCTGCCAGTAATTGCTCTTTATGTGGGACAGCTAAAGAAATGTCCAATTATAGGTCACCCTTCACAAAGCTTATACTTCGAAGTTTTTTAATATACAAACTGAACAATGGCTACAACTGATAGACTTCAACCAACTATACATACCGTGTGTTAACTTAAAGACACATGCTTATTTTACAATACCCACTTTTACACATAGCTTTGACATACTGTGGCAGTTGAGGCAGTTTAAGCTCAAGCAAGATTTTTAAGTTGTACCATTAAAAAAGCTCACCTGAATAGTAACAACAGGCATGAACAAAGCTAAAAAACTAGCTACAGAAGGCACTTGAAGTATTTTATTCTGCTTTCATTAAAGATTCTTCACTTTGTTCAGCTGAAATAGACTCTGAAATAGAGTCTTCATTTGTTGAAATATTTTCTGCTTCTTTTTCAACTTCTTCAGGTAGCTTATTTAGTTGCTCAGAACCTGATGCTTTATCGTCTGTCTCATTTGTCTCAATGATCTGGGCTGTGTCTTCTTTAGGTTCTGTGAAAAGAAAAATGATGAAATAATCATTTCCCAAAATTAAGGAGCTAGTATTATTAAAAAGCAAACAAAACAACATTTTGCAATTACAAACAGGTTTTGAATAGCCACTGCATGCTTTCAACTGCTAAAAATTATGTTATTTTTCTAGCAAAAGGGTCACAGGTAAAACTTGTAAAAATAAAAGAAAGAAAATACTATGAAAAATAGTTCAGATCCCCACTATGAAAATATTATGTATTATTTGTATATGTTCATCCCCAACAGAATCTTTCTAAGCTTGTTCACTAATGTGAGACACTGACAGAAATAAGAAATTATGGTAATTCAGCTTCTTTGCAATGGGAATTTTACCAACTGTATAGCTTTCTCTGTAATAGTTTCATCGCTACATTGAACCTAAACATTTTTTGGTGGAAACTACTTCAAATATAAGGAGTCAGATAAGTAGAAAAAAAAAGAATAAGAATAATCTAACATTCAACATCTCAAAACATTCAATGAAAATTACTGCCTATTCCCAGTCTTCCCACAGTAAGTACAGTAAGGGTACACAGGAATATCTTCACTCTCAATCTGGGATGGGAGTTTCTTTGATAACCAGCATATTCTGAAAATACTTATCGTGTGTGTTACCTCTGAAGAAGCAACTTCTGGCTTCTCAACAGGATTTAAATGGTGTTTGAGAAACAAGAGGCAGCTGCATTTTGAATTAAGCATAAGCACCGGAAAATGAAACATTAACTCTGGCACTAAGTGACACAAAGGCACTGTAGAATGATACTGTCGATGGTGGATTATTTATTGACTAGTATTAGTCAATACTACACAGCTATGCATTAATGCATACTGTGAAGGCAAGCAGTTTGCAAAACTGCTGCAAAGTTACAACTCAAAAACATTAACCTTAACAAACATTTGTAATTCCATCTGCACGTGCTGACTGTCTGAAAGTAAATCAGACTGCTTCAGGCTGGTATTCACCAAATTCAAGCAGGGCTGAAAGTTTTAGAATCACTGCTCTGGCTTCTCAGGTCATGATGGCCTAGAGTAGCTGCTGCACAGTCTGGTCCAGCAGACCTGGTACAACTGCCATCTGTCACCAAGAATTTGAGACCCCTCTTGCCACACACAGCTCCCTCTGGATTCAGTACCCTCCTCCCCAAGTAGTTAGTTCCAGGCTTCACTTCAGACAGCTTAGTGAAGTCCAACTTCTCAATTTCTTCCTCTGACTTGATCTTCCATCCTAACAGGTTTGCATTCAACTCGCCTCCTGACTAAGATTTCTCAATCACAAGCTGCTCAATGCCTACCCTGGCTGCTTCTTCCAAAATTTCTCTCAAGCCATCTGTCAGATGGTCAATCCTCCTATGTCTGCCCATGCAAATTCATGTTCCTCATTTCTTTCCAGACTATCCCAATGTTCCTCCTGCTCTTCAAGTTCCTTCTTGAGCCTGTGCTCAATCTTCATCTCCCAACTGACAGTCGTCTTTGTCTCATCTCTGTATTTTTTCTTCAGCCTCAAATTCTATGAATAAGTTTGTGCCTTTTCCCTGCTACAATCACTCCACACTTGAGTGCCATTCCTTCTTTATTGCGACTGCTCAGGCTCAAGTGAAAGTACAGGATGCGAAGAAGACAACTCCACACACCCTCAACTCATCCACAGCATAGCCCAGCCATCACTTGTTTTCAGAATTTCAGTTCTGCAGTCTCAACTGAAAAAGGCTGAGCATTCTGCAGGGGCAGAACAAGTGTTCTTAGTCCTACAGAGGCAAAGAGACTATTCATTCAGTCTGATCAGAAGGATGCAGAGCATCTACGTGTATTTGATGACAGCCTCAGCGATAATCAGCCACTAGCAGAAGCAAACAGAAGGTTCTAATCAAAAGAGGAAAACACGACTGAGTGTGTGTTCTAACTACATGTATTCAAAGGAACAGGAAAAGGATACTGCTTTCATTTTTAAATTCTACTAAAAATGATGGAGACTGCTTCTTTAAGAAAAAACTGACAGGTATTATATGACTTTTCCCCTCACCCTGTTCTTAATTAAACTTAATGAAACTCTATAGTTAAATCAACTCAAATTGAAAATTTTGGTCTAATAATTAAGTCTGACAAAGCTATAAGGAACTAAAGAGTAGATCCTTTAAATGAGAAGTCAGGGCAATCATAGTAAATGATGCTACTAACTCCAACTACAAACATGACCAACCTTCATTAAACATATATAGTGATTTCATTTTAAATATATTAACAGAAAGCTTGTCTAAAGTCAACTTGATCTCAGTATCACATGATTTAAGTTATTTTAAGAGAATTAGCCAAGAAAAAGCTGACAGTAAACTTAAAGATGGCAATAGAAAATTAGTGTCCTTGATGATTAATACTTCATCCATGATTCAACTGAAGAAAGTAGCAACACATACATGATCTCACAGCCCTATGCCAGCCTGAGCTGTATTGGCCTTCTTGTGGCTACAGCAGTTCTTTTTTCCTGCCCCTACAACACTCCTACTTGACACTCAGTACTTAGAAAGCACATGTACTTCACACTGTAAGTAGTCAGCTACTCCTCCTTCTACTGCAGAGAATATTTCACTGCGTAACCAGTGACATCACAATACTGCACAGCTATTAAAGTAAGCAGAAGATGTATGTCTGTTATGCAGGAATTCACAAAAAAAAAAAAAAGGTACAAAAACCAATTACACTAAAATACAGCTACTTTACTTGTATACAATGTAGAAAAAACACAACCTTAGCACTACTAATGCCTGAAGGGCATTAGACTTCCACACTATTTTCAAGACCTTTGGGTCAAGTTTTCTTCACTACTGCAGCTCCCGATCAGGACAGACTTTCACATACAGTGCCACGTGTCTGAAATGTCTTTAAGGAATATGGGCTTCACAGTAGCCTGTTCACGGCTTTCACATCACAGAAAGCTATTGTGAAGCCTTTGAAAATGAAGTCTGACAATGGCATAACATTTTATTTCCTGTCCCCTTTACGACCTACCAGAAGGGCAAGCTATGTTGCTCAGCAAAACTGAACTGTGGTAGACTGGAAACACAATACATTTTTAAACCAAAAAAACTTGTTTACAAGTCACTAAACTCAAAGTGATCTGCCCCATATCTGCTTGAGAAACCACTGAATTCTAACCATATTAGTTGAACTAAGGAAGGAGCACAGCAGGCTCCTCGTATCTCTGAAAAGAAACAATGCCTTACAAAAAAATATAGCAGGCTCCTGCTGTCCTATGAAAACAAAGCATATGTGGTAATAACGCAAACCAAATCTCTGAAATAGAAAATGCCTCCAGTCCAGTTTAAAGAGACACTCACACCAACCACAAACACGCCTCATTGAACTCAGACCATTCTGACCACAAAACATACTCAAGCTTATTTCTCAGTTCTTTGTCCTTAACCAGGTTTAGTCTAGATAAAACTTCTGCTCCATCTATAACACTTGCCCAAAGACAAGCTCTACTTCTGTTCTAACTCATAAATAAGCATGCACTCAAAGCAGCGTTATTTCTGGAGAATAACATTACTGTGAATCCTTCTGCTGAACAACAAAACAAGTTTCTGCATCTGCCTTTTAATTGAAAGTCCTTTCGACCATATTAGCAGTTGCCATATTCCAAGAATCATTAAAAGTGACAGAGCATTAAATCATCATAAAATATTTTTCAAAATGGTCAAGGAAATCTATAAAAAAGAGACAACACAGGAAGCTTTCTCCATAAAGTGCTGACCATCATGGTGAAATTCCCAGTTCAAAGGCATCTAATGAAGATCTCTGAACATCAGCACCAGATATACACCACACAACACTGAAGCCATCATATTTTGTTTGAACCTTCAAAACTAAATGCTAAACCTGAATCAAGAATGCGGTGTAACAGTAACAAATACAGGCAAGGCAAAATTAATCAAGGAGATAAAGGCAGTTCCTGTTGGCTTTTTCAATATGCTCCAAACACTGACACTTGTAAGAGAAATATGTAGGAGAACAGACTAGTCTTTCATGAAAAGAATTCAAGATTAAGGCATCTAAAAAAAAGAAAAAAGGTTAAAAAAAAGAATTGAAGTATATTGCCTTTAAAATTTCTCAAGTTCCTCTGCTGAACAGGGAAGCATGATGCTTGTGCCAGTAATCTGCATCAGGCTGACATCTGATGACTCTATATGTCCAGAGGATTAAAAAAAATCCAAGGTTCAGTACCAACAGCACTACCTACACCACTCTTCAGATCTCCTATCCACAGGAGTTACATGAAACATGCTTGTCACTGCATGAGCACACAACCGAAAAGAGATTCAGCTTCACACTCTACTCACTAGTAAAAGTAGCTGACTGGTAAAAAAAAAAAAAATTATATATATATGTGTGTATATGTATATATTTACAGCACTACTGTATCACATTAGCTTGCAGTTTCTTCCAAGTCATATAGCTATGGTTTAAATGACTTACAGGTAACAGCTGGATCTCCCTGTGTTGTCAACATTGTGATGAGGTTGGTTTCCTGATGTTAATGTTTGTTTATATCTGCAAGTTAAGATATTCTCTACTCTTGCTATGACACCAGCTATTTTGCTCTAGTGAACAAAAGTCTTCCCTAGAGCTATACCTCAATGATAGCTTCATACCTTAAACTTACAATCAAGCAATACATTCATTTATTAATAAAGCCTGACTGCCTGCAAGCAGTTATGTTTCAAATTAGGGTTCTGATGGAAAAAGTGATTTACTGAAAATGATATTTTCTCATTAATAAGAAATTACTTTGTGGCAAGTTACAGGCAATGAATGCACAGTGACAAACTGATAGGGTAGCACTGGTCTCCTGATCATCAACAAGACACTTCCCAGATATTATTTATATAAAATATTAACATATACTCTATTTCTGGCTGCCTATCATTTACTGAAACAGAATAGTTTCTATCATCTCAGAGACAAAATATTCATAAAATATAAGATATTTAAGATAAAACCAAAAGTCAGTATACCAGCTACTTATATCATGTCTCTTCTGAAAAATTTCACCATACACTTCCTAGCACAGAGAGAACTGAAGAACAAACCTCCACAGTTGTTTCCTTTGTCTTGTATTTTATCCTAAAATACTTCATTAAATTCTACTTTTGAAAAAGCAAAAGTTATTTTGCAAGATTTTCATTCCCGCATCTCAAGTGCTAACAGAAATCTCACACTAAGTTTTACGGTTTTACATTTTTTACAGTATCTGTCAACTGATTCAGCAGCTCAGACCCATTAAGGGCAGTGTTCAATCAACATTTCATTCAATGATAATACCAGCTTAATGAGCACCCCTCTCTCCCCGAAGCTCCAAGAACCTGCAGTTATGCATAATATTCAGAAGCCCCGTGGCACACACCTCCGAGAGCTGGATATCCCTCTTTAAGGACTTCCCCATTTGATTCACACAGAGGAAAATAAGCAGAGTTTTGAAGACCCCAGTAACAAACTGTCATTTCTGTAACAATCTTCTAATTTTAAAAGTAGCCAAGAAGCTACTAACCTACCCTCCACACACCAAAGAGATGATTAGATGATTTGAGGGCAAAGATGATATTTGCATCATCTTAGCTTCCTGTATCTCATGTCAGTCTTACTTTCATGATAGCAACAGTATTTTTAATGAAGAGCAGACCCTAGCACAGGAAAAGAAACCAGCCAAGTTCTCCTTATAACATATCCACACCGACCACACCCAGAGATGGCTGCAGTTCGATAGGACTTGTCCCTATGGTCTCACGCAGTCTTCCCAGGCCAGAAAGTAAAGGTCAATGCTATTTCATACTCCCTGTTAAAGATAATCAAACAGAAACATTCTTTTGGTTATACTCTGACAGTTTCCCACAGTTGGTGTGTTTCTAGCCTGAATCTTGGGACAGTACACTATTCAACAGCTTCCCACCATGTTCCCTTCTTAAACTAATGTAAAATACCATCAAGCACTCAGTGGCACAAGCTGGAGATTCTGTGGTTGAAATTATTATTTCTGGAGGTTTTTAAACACTGCATCTTCCTGTTGGCTGTACACCAGATGCCTACTGTATCTGCAGACTATAAAATGTCTCAAAAGGAACTACGTTAAATTAAAATTGACAATTTGTCTTTGAACTCCCTGAAATTAAACAAGGCAGTTTTACTAGATTTTCCTGCCCTGAGGAAAATAGCAGAAGGAACAAAGGCAGAAATTCCAACACACCTCAGTCAAATGACCTGCTAAACACAGTGAAAGTTAACCACTTGGAGGCATATTCCCTTAACTATTTCTGTAATTTAAAGTGTTATTTTCTATCTGTTTATTGTAACATTAGAGTGAAAAATTTTGTTACATAGTCATTTGCCTGAGATATATCGCCTAATATGAAGAAAGTTTAGGGTCCAGGACAAAAGACAGTAGTATCAACAAGCTAAGCGGATAGCATGGACAACAATTGAAAACAAATATCAACTAAACCCAGTATGAAGTCAGAATAGACTATTTCAGCTGGAAGGGACCAGCAATGATCTATTCCAACTGCCTGACTAATTCAGGGCTAAGCAAAAACTTAAAGCATGCTATTAAGGGCATTGTCCAAATGTCTCTTAAACGCTGAAAAGCTTAAGGCATCAACCACCTCAATAGGAAGCCCATTCCAGTGTTTCAGTACTTCAGTTGTTCTTATTCTTTTGAAAAGTCATCTAAACAGAAAGCTAGATGATAGGAGGACTTCAGTAGGCATTAAAAAAAGAGTAGACTTCATGAGCTGAGCACATACCTTCTGTCTGTGGAGTCTCCTTAGGCTTGCTCTCTCGAGGTTCTAGAGGCTCAGTTTCAGATCGCAGTTCTGTAGACTGCTTTTTTTCAAAACTGAACTCTGGAAGTCGTGGAGCCTGTGGTCTTGTTTTTCTTGCAGGATTCAGGAAAAAGCAGTAGGCACACCTGAATGCTACACAAAAACACACCCAATAAGTAGCAGCACTAATTAATTTCATACTTCACCCTTACTCCTGCACTATTATACTGACTGTCCAAAATACCAAGAAGAGAATTAAATGACTACCAGCACCTGATACAGTACACAAGCTCTTCCACATAGCTCTACTTTAACTTAAGCATACATTTCCTTATTAAAAATCTGTTTGCTTTCAGCTCGGCCCCACTTATGAATACTACCCATCACTGTGAAAGATTTGACTGCAATGAACAAATAATACAAATTCAGTACCACCAGATGTTGCCACATCTATTCATTGCTACAAAAGAATTAACTGGGCAATTTTTTTGCCCCTTAAGATGCCACTTTCCTCACCCTTTGAGTAAGCAGATGCTACGGATTCTACAAGGTGTGTCTCACTTTGCTTTTTGAGAAGCATTATACTTCAGTGGTACACAATTAAGAAAAGGCAGTTTTGTTCTGGCGGAGTCCTGGATACCACTTCATAGTTAAAAGCACAAGTTGTCTCCCCAGGATAAGGGTGGAAGTGGCAATTTCTTGCACAGCTGAATTGTGAACTCACTTGAGCTAAGATGACATATAGACTATATATCTTTGGTTCCACAGGAAACATTCAGATTATTCTTACAATACTTTATATTTACTCATAAAATTAAGAGAAACAAAATGAAATACAAGATTTATCTAAGATTCCCTCATTTCTTAAGCACCAGGCTTACACTTGTGGTAGAAAGGAAGCAAAATAAAACATCTGTGTTCAATAAACAGCTGTGTCTGTCTTAAGTTATTGTCAGCCATAAATTCACATATAGGCCCCTAGGGCTTGTTCCCACTCCTTTTCCGATACCTCCCCAAGATCTTCTTGGCAAAGCAAAATTTTGTTTAAGTTCTGGTAAAAGAGGCATACTTTAATGTCAGATAGTTTCACAACATAAAACCCTTCTGAGAATCATTCATAGCCAGTAGCAATTCTCAGGGATGTATTGGAGGAGGCTTTTTTCTACTGAGCAGTTTTCTACACATAAAATCCTTGGCCTGAAGGTTGCAGTAAAGTATTTCTCTAAGTCTCGAAGTAAATCTTAAGGATATGGAACAGAAAGTTACCATAAAACTGCTCCCATATGAAGTGGCATCTCACAGTGCCAGTTTAGCATTTAATTGCAATCACAATGAAGTATGATGCATCTTAGTTATGAAACGTGAGCCATCTAACAGTCAGGCACAAATTAGCTCTTACCTACGTATTCAAACTCCTCCTTCAAAGCCATGCCATTGTGAGAAAAACACTGCTGACATATAAGGGCATACCTAGAAAACATAATACATAATTACATACCTTTAAGTAATAACACATTGAAGTGAGATGTGTTTTACCTTTACTATTGACTAGCAGTTTGGCTTTAGCGTTGAGCAGTAATTTTCACAGTGAAATTATTGTCCTTTAAAGCAAACTAAATCTGTGTATTAAATAATAGTTTTGAAAGTTGGGTTTAAAACAGTGAAATACTCTTAGCTACAATTTAAACCTCATGGCTTAACATATTTTTAATATCACCATTGTCATAAAATAACATCCAAATTAAGTCTGCATTTTATTAGAATACAGTCAATATGAGAAGTGACCATGGTTAACATGAAAGTTCTGATACTTCCGAACAGTTCTGAAGGCAATCTGAAAGCATTTCAAATGGCAGTAAAGCTGAAGTGCTAAGATAATGAAGTATTTAAGTTCAAAATATAATTCATTCACCCACTTGAGCATAGATTTTTTGCTTTTATCAGATGGCTAATACCACCCAAAGCAAAGGTTAATTTTGTCAAAATGTTACCATTTTTCCTACAAAGATATTTCAGGTGAAGCACTGAGAAAGGGCCATTTCATTATGAAAGTTTCAGTCAAATTAATTTGCAATTCTTTTAATCTTGACACATTTGGCTTAGAAAACAGGTTAAGAAGCTTCCTATCTCTTAAGTGTTCACATATTTCCTTTAGCAACATTTTACCTGTTCTGAGGACCATCGCCAACCAAATATTCAATAACCCTATCCACAACTCCTCTTTCTCGAGGAAGAATAGGCCTTGCCAAAGGAGGGCCTGGAGGATGAAGACCTAGGGAGACAAGAACCACATCAGATATATATGTAAAAATACATAATACATTATGACATGAAATGTATTTCACTCTATGTGCTAACATAATAAAATAATTGTACCTACTTAACATATATGGCCATATTTCTCAGTCCACTAGGAAAGCTGTAAGATTTCTAAATCCAAAAGAGTTTTAAGTTCCTCTTCTGCTCTTTTAGTTTATAATCTTATTAAATCCTTCTACTTATACATCTCAGATATGTAATCAAATCTTTAATTTCTAAATAACGTAAGGCATCAATAGTATTTAGTGATTACTCACAAACTGAGACTTTTTAAGCAAAGAAAAACTTATTTGTCTTTTCTTCATAAAGTCTCAACTCAGCATTTCAAATCTGGTAAAATCAATTACAACAGTGAAAGAACTGAAGATGTTGCCAAAGAAGCACCCACTGGTTTCTGTATCATATCTATACCACATGAGTATGCCCTCAGCACGCACTGAGTCTACATATTAAACCTGCCTATCCGTTTGGCATTTTGGTAATACCATGTTTAATGGAAGTCGAATACTTTCAGATTTATGCTCAGTCAAAGCAGCCAGAAAGCCACTATTATTTTTCATATCCCATGTGTTTAACAAGCTACTATCCAAAGAAAACTCCATTAAGAGCAGGTAACAGCAATAGCTGCTGCTGCCTTTTTCACCTCTGTTTACATATGGCAGGTAAAGTAGACAAGCGGCACAACCCTGTCTTTCCACAAAGTTTTGAAATGCCTGGTCATAATGAGCAAGACATGATTTGCAAACAAACTAAGTCTGAATCATTCAAACACGACCAAATAACTGAGTATCTGAAACTTCTTCCCAAGGACACACTCCTGGCCAAGAGATATTTTACACAAGCACAGGAGGTATTAAGTTACAGTACAGTAATGTACCAGGCAGTCTTGAACGTGACATAATAAAGTGAGCCCTTGGGGCAGGTGCAGAAGGGAAGGATTTAAAATGACTTTCCCTAAGACCTTTATGAATTACATCCAAAGGCCACAAAGATGAATTTTTGAGTAGGACAACAAAACAGTTCTTTCAGGACTCTGAAACTGGGACAAAATGGTTTGTACTTGAGCAGGTTTTATACTGAGACGAGCATATGGGAATCTGAAGCCATGCAAGAAAACTAAGTATATTTGTAGAAGTAAAATTCTCAAGGCACAAAAAGTGACTCATGTTTTCTCAGGGAAGAGTCCTGGGTTGTAGCTATTCTCACTGTATCCAATAAGAAGAGATATACAAAAGACATGGCTTAAAAGAAATGCTTTTAGCGACCACAGACACAGCCTTTGACTGTTTTCAACTTGCTGTGCTTCTAGTATTTTTCTTGGGATTACATGTTTCATGGAATCCCCCATAATGCTCAATAAACAAACAGACAGATAAAGCAAAAAGTTGAACTAATGCAGCAGGACATTTAACTGAAAGCTATCAGCAGACTTCAAGCTTCTCAGAAGACAGATTTAGCTTTCTTGTAGCACCTTAGCTGGGGGCAGCAGCAGGACATGCACAGCCTCAGCTTCCAACCCAGCTGAAACTCTTTCATAAACATATGCACACAAGTAACAGGTATTGCAGGCAAAGACAACACAGCAAATCATACTATTTTGTAAGTTGATCCATGTAACTGCCAGCAGTTACCATGTCAAGTCTTCTACCTTTTAACCTTCACAGATTGGAGCAACAAGGGAAAAAGAGTAATTTATGGCAAAAAGTGCTACACTGTGGTAAAACAAGCCAAATGCCAGGGACAGCTAACCTCCCCAACCTTATGGCAAATGTCAGGAACATTGTAGGCATCAAACAATTTCAGCAGAGCCCTCCAAGTGCTACACAGAATTAAATTAATCTTGCCATTGAGGTTGCAATACTTCGAACAGCACAGCCTTTCAAAATACCTCCCATCAATACTGCGTAATTGACCTAAATACGCTGTCTAATCTTTAGAAGCACAGTAAGATTCGATCAGAAAATACTGCAAGAGAACCGAATTCAAGAGGTATCAGTGAATACGTCACTAAGCTACCCCTGTATTCTGTCAACAAGCACAAACCCAGACTAAGAAAACCCTCACAACTGCAAAGCAGAACTAATTCAGTGCAACATAAACTGGACCTAACGCTTCATCTTGTAGACTGTGAAAAAGCTGTCCAGAAGTGCTTTTCGCACTTCCTAAAGCCTTCACAAAAACCTGAAAGACCCAATACTTCCAGTTAAAAAAAGTGAATGGACAACATCCGACATAAGTGTGAAGTAAAGATCTGGAGTACTGATATTATCAGCACTATAATTAAAAGTCTAGAATGATTTTGTGAATGCCTGGCTAACACTCAAACATTTACTTAGCCCTATATTCAAAAGGCCAAATTTTCCCATGACCAATTGGCGATTTTCATATCACCGACATATATCAAGTTTCTTGAAGTTAATGAATAAGGCCAAAAAATAAATAAAGCTACCTAGAATAAAAAACACCACAACATGCTCCAATAACAACTTCAATTGCCTGCCTACTAATAACTCAAAACCACCATCTTAGTTCTCATGCTGTTATGGACACCAGTAATTAATATAAACATCAAAAGCAATCATTGTAGAAAGACTGGTCATTTCTGTAAAGCTTGGCAAACTCTCAGCTACCTGCTGGTTATTAATTTTCAAACATATGGGAGCTCTGTGGTAATACACTTTAAATTGATTCTCCCCTACAAAATACAGTATAATGAAAATGAATTATTTATCTTCTCTAAAGTAGAGAGAATTAAAGCTATTCGTATTTTTTGCAAGTCACTTAGATGCGATGATATTACTCTTATAGATACTGAATTGATATACTTTTCACTACAGCTACATGATTGAGATTTTATATGCCTGAAGGTTGAGGGAAATTCAAGAGAAACAAGAGTTTCCACATTAATGGACAACTGCAGTGGCTTCCACTGCTATCTATAACAAAGTAACACGTTTAGTCAAAATACCAGTTATTAGTGGGGAAAAAAAAAAAAATATATGTGCCTATAAAGCTTTATCACAACAACTACGTTAAATATTTTAATTAACAACCTTGGCAACTGTAACTCCAAACAAGTCCATTAATTTTTTTCCTTCTTCCTCCAAACAATTTCTGCAGAAAAGGCTGAATTTTGTCCAACTTACTCAGTGTGCCCAAATCTTCCTCTAAGAATAAAACTATTACATACCTGACATTGTTTTATTACATAGCCAGCTTCTTAAATAAGCAGCAACATGCAGATTTTTAAACTCATTAAGGAATTTTAAGTAAGCAGGTTTCAGAAAATACAGTTTGTAACCAAATGACCAATTTTGTAGTGCAAGTAGATGATTTCTGGTACTTCAGGATAATCAAGACTTACTAATAACTTGCCTTTATAGTTCACTTCATAGATAAAAAACAAAATCTAGCTGTTTCATAGTACAGGTAAAGACTAACAAAAAATAAGGCTTCATGAACTCTGTAGAGAAGTAAGATATCACAGCTTTTCATTAAAAGTTTGCTCCACTACACTAACCAACACAAACAGACATTTTAACATTCAGGTGCTCAAGATGTTCCATTAAGAGACTAAGTGTCAATTTATTATGTATAGTTCTACTTTTCAGTTGTATCATAGAAGTTAGGAAGCAAGGCCATACAGTTTGTAAGACTAAGTAACTTAAGCTTAAAAACACCAGGAATGCAGGGAACTAAAAAACATTCTTAATCACTGTATAAAAAGCACTGAACTACTCCACACTCTAGTGGTGCTCAGAAGATTCCTGGCAAGCTGCATTCCTTCTATTTTCAAGACAGCCTTTCATCTGCTTTCTTGCCTTGGGATCCAACCTGTCAGACACCCTGCAACAAATGAAAGGCCTGGCACTAACCCATAGACAGTTTTACCATCCATGAGGAGAACAACAACACCTCCTAGGCAAAACTCTCAAATTTTGCTATCCCTCCTAAGGAATTTAGTTCATGTTCTATTTCAAGTTCACCACATCTGAATACCAAGACAGAAATCAAGGGAAAAGCATTTCAGGATATGAAAACCAAATTTTAAGGAGTACTCCTTTCTAGCAGATCTCAACCTGTTGTTAAACTTTTGACTCCTGTTCCAGAACAATGATGTAATTTTAGAAGAATTCAGCTACAACACACACAACTTCTCTGGTGTATTTGGTATTTTACATTTTAATCTATGAGTATAGGTTGCATGACTATACTTCCTAGAGAAAAAAATTTAAATAAATGTCAGGATGCATGTTAAAAAAATATGTGCAGGGTTTAGTGAGAAACATGAATGTATTCTGAAAGTGTTCTCCTCTGTACCTGATTTATATAAGTGCAGAGCTCTTCTAAACTAAGAACATAAAAAGGTATGCTATACTGTTGACTACAGAATACCACAAAGTTTTATTGCCATTTAAACAAAGAAGCCATAACAGTTAAATGAGCTCAGGCAATAGGCTTCAGCATCAAAAGGTGCCAGCTGTGAAGAGTTATGGCTAATTGAATATGGAACTCCTGCTTAATCAGATAACTGCTCTGCTATTTCCAAATGAAATGCCATTTCCATACTGCCTGAAAACGGCCTATTTTATTGGTAACCAGAGAAAACAATATAAACTGTAAACAACATTAAGTGCTCTGTTTACCCATTCCAGGCACCGAAGTAGCAGGGGATCCAGGGCGTTTTGGTAAAACATTTGACTGCAAGGATGGAACAACAGTTCTTTCTGGGGTTCCGCTCAGAGCTGATGTGTCTCTCTGCAGATTAGGAGATGCTGGAACCGGTGATTTTGGAGAGCCTTGTTTAGGAGTTGCAGGCGGGGGTGTAGAAGCATTTCTTTGAGCTGTGGTCCTCTGACGAATTTCTGACAAGAACACATGCATACTGAATTTGCAGTCAGCAATACAAGCAAGAGATTAGTAAAAGTACATTCATACTGTTACTCCAATCAGCTAGTTAGTCAAACAAAAGCAAAAAGGTCTATAACTTAAGACGTCCAGCTGCCTGGCTGAGCACATCATAGAAATAAACCCCATACAAAATATTATATTTCAACAGCAACAATCATTAACTGTTAAATACTTAGGACAAAATTCTTTCAGAAGAAAGTTAGCAGATACTTACCTTACAATTCTGTTCTCTAAGGCAGAACATTGGAAATATGAACGGCTAGAGCCAAACCACAATGTACAGACAGAACTGACCACTGTTTTTACTCTAGGGTGGAAACATGTTTCCAAGTATTTAGCTTGCCATGGGACCACACACTTTTCAGTCAAAGTCTAAAACATCCTGGCTAAGTGTTCAAGGTTTTTTTAAAAAAAAAAAAAAAAAAAATCACATTGGATAAATGAAACAATTCTAAAGCCAGAAGAAAACATAATGCTTCATTCAGATCATATAGTTTTGTCCATTTATTTCAGCAACCCTACCAAAAAGCAACAAAACAAGAACAGGCTCTACTGGAACACACCTGTACTTTCACCTCTTCTCACTTCACCATCAAGAGTTACTATTATGAAAAACTTAATACGTTTCCTCAGTTCTTCTTACCTGAAGCCAGAATTGTCATTAGCACCAATGGGAATACCATCCCAGTAACATATTATTACTGCATTATATAATAATTATATTGTCATCCCTGTAATATATTACAGTTGGGATATTATTTTATCAGTGCAAACCTGAAGCTCTGTTGTACTTATATGCAAGTTTGTTCTCCAAAACAGACCAGGAATAGCATTCATGAACAGTGACTGAGTCACTACTATCTATTTCTCATTCCTTCTACACTTAGTCACCCTTAGAGTGCCTTTGAAACACGTTTTGCAACAAATGGAATTGAAATGTAAGCCTCACTTTAAGGCTGTGGACGTTAAGGTGGTTAACAAGTGTCAGCTCAATTTAAATGGTACACCAGGAATGCCTACACCTAAGGCTACAGTATCACACAGAGGTAGTGTCTAGCACCCACATGAGATTGAACAAGCTGGCTTGTCTTCCTTCTAACAAATGGAATTTAACATTAGAATTGGACTTTGAATTTGTCTCCTCAAGATTCCAGATTAGAGGTTTTATCTGCTGAGCTGGCATCAGGCTGGAAGAACTGAAATGCTGAGCCGGCAGTGAGTGTACAGGTCCACTGGCAACTGCCCGCAGGGAGATGGGTGTGCCAAGGTCTGAAGAAAAGATCTGTCCCCAGAAGTACAATACTAGCACACTAAGCTTCTGTATGATCTGGAGGAGGTGGGGAGCATGTGTTAGATTATATCAGCTAAGAAAGAGCTGCTGTCACTGGAGCACCAGGTCAAATATGAAAGTTCTGTTGGCAAATCACCAACATCCAGTGCCATGGAACTGCAGCATACATAGGTTATGTCCTTGCCTACTTGTCCATAGATATAAATAGGATCATTATACACCAGAAGAAAGAACATAAGATTTTGGTATCATCAGTTATAAGACTACAACTGCACAAAGTCTCACTAAAAATCCAGCTAGTTCAGCTTCCTACAGAGCGGGACTAATTACCTATCACTCCTTCATGTGCACAACAATTCACAGAGCCTTATTGTCCAAGACAGATCATCCAATGATTATGAAGATTCTTTGTTCCTGCAAAGATGTTGAACCCAAGCACTTCACAGTCAATATTAAAAGATGTGCTTCAGTAGTTTTAGTCTCATTACAGAGACTCGTTTCCACAAAATGACATTATTCACAGGCTTCTTTTTTTCCCCCTTCCACTTAGAAGTTCATTTGGCTTTTAATCTACTCTTATTTCATACTGAAGAAAACTTGTCAACACTCTGCTACTCTCCAGGTAAGAGAAGTTACCAAAAGAACTTACATTACTAGAAAAAGTGAAATCTCTCCTTAGTGAGACCAATAGCCCATACATCCCAACAACTCGTCTCTTAGAGAGGTTGCAAACGTTAGTTAATAATAATATAAACTTGAATGATTTCTGTTGCCTACATCTGACATCATCCCCAGGATCCATAAACACATTGTCCAGGACGCTGCAGAGTACAGCCCTGTCTAATCATCTTAGTATCAGATATGGACCCTGTTTGCCCACGGACCCTAATCTCTTTTAAACCTGCTGTTTATTTCCACAATAACAGCCTTAATTTGATATGATCTATACGCTTCTCAAATTGCCTTATGTTGAGATGCCATGTGTTATAATAACGAGCCTCTTGCAAAGTCCCAGGTTTCCACAGCTCAAGTTTGCAGAATAACATGTCTGTTGGGTCTCAGTACTAACAAAATATACAACTGCTGCTGATATAGTTTTAATGAAGTTTTGCAATTTTCCAAGTTTTTTTCTTCTCTGAACGATTTTTGCACACCTGCAAACCAACTGTATGGAGACAAACCACTTAATAATAGAACTTCTGTTCTTCAAGCACACTGGAGTCCAAATTCCGCAGTTACCACCTGTCCTGGTTTGAGCGACATCAGCACTGATCAACACCAGTAGCTAAGCACACACATTACTTAACAGGGCTACTACTCACAACTGATGATTCAGTATGACTTCTTAAAGAATATTAAGACATTGCCAGTGGCAAGACTGCTCTATTTTTCATTTTTAGAAGTATGACTATTTTTTCTCCCTCCCTTCAGAACACCTT